CACAACTACACCGAGTAGCAGGATTATTCCCGATTGTGAAATGTTGAGTAAAGTCTCACCGAGACGCTTGAGCTCTCGTTCAAACACCGTCAATGGAATTGGACAACCACGTACGTGATTTTTTTCACTTGCCGAATTGGATATGTAAATGCAGACAAAACAAGGTGTACGGTTTTCTAATTATGGACTCACAAAATATGCACGACTGAATCCATGCTGAGATATTTAATCGTTACTTTAAACATCACAAGCATACGTGTTAATTCTGTTCAGGTTCACAAATGCTTTAGCACTATAGCAAATAAAGGGTATACAATTGTATAATCACGAGCAATACTAAAAAAACTGGGTTTAACATAAGTGCATGAATATACTTCGTAAATGTGGAATAGCATCCAAAAGCATAGCTGCCACAACAAATGAACGACACGTAAAAAAAGTTATTTCAATATAATACACCACACTCTGGTACTAGCCCATCCAACAGATGCAGAAACTGTTTCGAACTACAATCCTTAATGACACCTCATTGCACGAGTGATCTGAAGCCTCATTACTACTCTCCACCACCCAACAACTGCCATTGACAAAAATCTGATTTACCCAAGAATGCACACAAGTATTCTTTAACCTTGTCAGACTTTTCCCACTACAAATGCTGCCCTTGTGGTGGTGTAATAGCATCATTACACCCCATCAGGGCACTTTATTTACTTACTTCAGATCTTAGATAGCTCATCAGCAATACAATAATTCCTTCTGGTAAAGGTAAGCTGTTATTCGACTCTCTACAAAGACAATTACTTAAGTGCTGTGACTCAATTACAAATGACGTACATCTACCACTCACGTGTCCCGAGTCAGAAATGCATCACTCACCTGACACTCACCAGTATATACACAATAGAGCAGTGTTCTTCATTGCAAGGCCCGCAGGCACACTAGCCGCCCCTGGTGACCTTCGGTGCGACCCCTGACGTGCAACCCCCGACAATACACAAATGTGAAAACACTACCACCGTGCTGCTGTGAAACAAAATGGTTTAAATGTTACCGCCTTCACACTAAATTTAGATTTAAAGCTTTCGTGACTGCAGTGATTCATATTCTTGGTTCTTTCGGTAAAGTCACGTTGAAGGGAAACAAAATATATAAAAAACGTCGTGAGAATTTTATTGTTTTATATATTATTATTTTATTGTTTCCCTTCAACGTGACTTTACCGAAAGAACCAAGAATATGCCCTCACACTGTTGATTTCTTATCAGCGAAAGTGGCCCTCTCCTCTGAAAATTTGTGAAAAACACCGTTAGAGGGTAGCCTGTTCATATTAAAATGGCTGCTCCCCACCTCCACCCACACCTGACCCCAATAGCACATACCTATGAGTTGTATAATTTTGTGATGGAGATGCACCACGTTATCAGGACGCTTGTTTAACCCGGGAAGTCTCACCGAGTATCAAGTCTTTTTTATGAGGGTCCTGCCAAGTTTGCGCAGTAAGAGGCGATGTTGCTGTGTCAACCCAATAGACCAGGGGTCGGTGACCTGCGGCTCCGGAGCCGCATGCGGTGGCTCTTTAAGGACTGCTGCTTCGTGACGTTGTTTATTAAGACCACCACAGTCTCATATTCACTACGTGCATCGCGGCTCTTGAAATAGTTTTTACTGAATTAGAAAATAAATGGCTCATTATTATTTTGACTGCAGACCCATGCAATAGAGCAATGTGTAGGTAATTTTCTAGCATTGGGATGTTTGGCCATTACCAGCTAGATTGTATGGGTTTTTTTTTGCGATAAGAGGAAATTGGAGAACTCGGAGGAAACCCATGCAAAACAGGGTTCTAGAACATAGACGCCACAGTAAGGCACCACAGTTTGAAATTCTACCTCGGCCATTGTTGGCGTGAGGCACAAGTGTTACCACTCAGCAAGCCCGCCACCCACATGCCTGGTTGTTGTAAATGCTGGAGCAGATACTCAGCCTTGAGATCAATAAGCCAACTAATTGGGTTAAAGGTATTTTTTCCAATAATGTTCACCTCATTCACGTAAACTATATATCATAGGCTTTTAAATAACACATCATTCAATGAAATTGGTCGAGTGGCCTAGGAGTTTTTTGGATAAAAATGCATAATACAGATTATCCACTTCTATAGATAAGAATATTATGTAAATATTGAATTCACAAGTAAAATTATTAATAGACCTAAGTGTTAGGAAAAGTGCTGGTATATGCTGATCATAAACACAAAGAGAACTATATATCTACGGGGACATTTTTGCCGGTATAAAAATAACGAAAAACGAATAGACAACAACCACTTCGCACTGCACCCGCTTTCAAAATCCCCCCGACCCCCCACGCAGCATAACAAAAGGTGGGTCTTTTACCCACTCCCGTGCAGTGCGAGGTGGTTGTTACCCGCAGCAGCCTATCAATAGGCTGCTTACCCCAGCCCTCCCACGCCCCCTTACTGACTCCTCCCCCCTCCCTTAACCTGTGTAGAGTAAAATGGGGACGTGACGTCATGTGTGCCGTCCAGTGCGATGACGTCACAGAACGTGGCATCATGCACGCTGGGCGGCTCGATGATGTAATGTCTCATCTAATATTTAATCTGGAACCCGTCACGGGTTCAGGGTCGTCTGGAGGGTCCTGGAACGTGAAGGGTGAAAGTCGGGACCCAGGGTAGGGGGAAATTGGCACCAGGCTAGGGTAGCCTGCGGGTACTAGGGACTTTCCCAGTACCCTTCCCCTGGGGGAGCGATGGGACCCTGGGGTAGGGGGAAATTGGCACCAAGCTAGCGTAGCCTACGGGTGCTAGGGAATCCCCAGTACCTATCCCCTGGGGTGTGGAGTGTAGGCAGTGAGTGTGCAGTACACGGAGTCGTGTGCAATTAGAGGTCTTTAATAAAACAACTGGTGTGAGCCCTTAATAAACTTGGCGCAAGCCCTTACACGAAGATCTGCCTCCGAGTCATGATTTACGCCTCAACAACTGGTGTCAGAAGTGGGATGCGCTGCCGTCACTGTCAACATCGGGAGCGGCGCGCAAGAACCCACCGACGGGACGATCGGAGGATGAAGACGGCATGGAGGAGGCTTCGGCAGTGACCCCGGAGTCCAGGGCCCCGGTGACGGCCCCTGAGAAGAGGAAGGGGACGGAGCGGGAGGAGAAGGCGTCCGGGGGTGCCAGCGCTCCGCCGCCGGGCGCGGGGAGCGCGTTCGCGGGGCAGCTGGAGCTGCTCACACAGGCGATGGCGAAGCTCGGCGCCCGAATCAACATGGAGAAGGCGTCCGGGGGTGCCAGCGGGGCGCCGCCGGGGGCGGGGAGCGAATTCGCGGAGCAGCTGGAGCTGCTCACGTGGCCGATGGGACAGCTGTGCGCCCAGATCGAGGAGGTGGAGGCAAAGATGCGCGCTCAACACGCATTTTGGAGGGGAGCGGCGGAATCCCGCCAACCCGCTTCCCGCTAATTTTAAGATTGGCGCCATGTTCCCGACGGGGGCGCCACGGGAGGCGGCCGCCATTTTGGCTGCGACGCCGCAAGCGGCCGCCATTGTTGATGCGACGCCGCATGTCGGCGCCAACGGGCGCTGCGGCGCCGCCGCTCTCCACCGTGGGTGCCGCCGAGCACGCGAGGTCTGCCGGCGGCGACGCCGCAGCTCCGCACCACGCTGTGCCCGCCGGGGGGGCCCCAGGTACGGCCGCGGCTCCGCACCTCGTCGCGCCGCGTGGGTTGCCGCGGGTGTCACCGCGGCCCCGTGCACCGCTACCGCGGCTCCGCACCTCACCGCGCCGCCGAAGTTACCGCGGGTGCCGCCGCGGCTCCGCACGCCGCCGTGCCTGCGGTGTTTGCCGCGCCCGCGGCTCAGCACGTCGTCGCGGCCGCGGCGCGGGCCGCCGCGGCCCTGCACCTCGCCGCGCCTGCGGGGAGGGCCGCCGCGGCTCCGCCCCTCGCTGTGCCTGCGGGTTTTGCCGCGCCCACCGCCACGGCTCCGCATGTCGCCGCGGTCGTGGGGTGGGCCGCCGGCTGCGCCACGGCCCCTCTCCGCAGCCGCGCCTGGGGGGCAGCAGGAGCCACCGCTCGGGCCGGTGCGCACCTGGGGTTTTGGCTGCAGAGGCGGGAGGGGGGGGGGGAGCCTCCACTCGCCCTCCGCAGCTCACTCCTGGTGCTGCCACGAGTGGCCTGCCCCGGTCTGGAGGGAGGAGCGCTGGGCTGCTGCAGCTCTCCTGGGGCCTGTCACTAGCTGGCGCGGTGCCTGGCCTGGCGGTTGATGCCGCATGGGGAGGCGGGTCTGCAGCACGTGTGCGCTGGGGCAGGCGCTCTGTGATGACCAGACGGACCGCTGCCGTCGGCCTCCAGCCCTCATCGCCAAAATTGTCGGTTTATGTGTTGTCGGGGCTGCCCAAGTGTCGGTTGTTGTGTTATGGTTGGGCTGTAAAAATTGTCGTACCGAGTGATGTGGGGTTCGTAAATTTGACTTTATTGTTGTCGGGCTGCCCTGGTGTTGTGTTTGGTTTTGGGGGCGGTCCGTCTTTGTAGCCACTTCCATGGTGTTGTGAGTTGTTGTAAATGTGGTTGTTTGGGTTCCGGCACTCCTCTACTTTTATGTTCTTTACAGCCGAGTCGGCTGAATTTTTTTCCACAGGGAGTGGTAATGTAGAGGATTAAAATGGGAACGTGACGTTATGTGTGCCGTCCAGTGCGATGAGTCACGGAACGTGGCATTATGCACGCTGGGCGGCTCGATGACGTCATGTCTCGTCTAGTATTTAAGGGGGACCCCGTGACGAAAGCGGGGTCACTGTGGGAACGGGTAGAGTGAGAAGGGTGGAGAAGGAACCAGGGGTAGAGAGGGATCGACGAGAGTCAGGAGTGAAGCCGGTGGTAGCCGTAGGAGGTGCTGCTCTTCCCGGTCGGTGGGGTTGGCTAGTGCCCCCATCCGACTCGAGGGAGAGAGACCGGAGCTAGCCGGGCTGGACCAGGACTTAGTGTAAGACCCCTAACCCCTGGGAGTTGTCACACCCTTTGTGTTATTGTAATATACTTAATAAACCTTTGGCGAAAGCCCTTACCTTCAAGCCGTCTCCGAGTCGTCGTCGGGAACTCCTCAACACCTGTATAAAATCCCTGTTGTCTCTGAACTGTGCTCCTGACACAGATATTCTGCGTTGACTTTTCCACCTGAAGACGGAAGCTTGTGTTGCCTCCGAAACGTCGTGATTTAATTATTTTCTTTTATTTTGTTTTATTTTATCTACGTGACTTTACCGAATAAAACCAAAGAGTATCTTGACACCGGTAGTATTGCCTAGAAAGAGTAAAACCTTTTCATTTTTCATAGAGAACTATATTTCCTAGCAATCGAATGTGTGCATGTATGGGGATGTTCACCTTAGCCCATATTTCTATGCCTCAGTCAGTGATGGTTTGTAAAATGGCAGAAGTTTGAGGAGCCACTGCTGAAGGGCATTGCATGCGAACCCATCAATTAAAGCTACTCGATTTCCCAAATCTGTGTTAACTTGTTATCTGCGCAATTGTGCATGAAACTACATGAAGAATTCCTGCTGTGAAAAACATTAAGAACATGAGACTCTATCCAACGTAGATTCCCTTTAAAAATACCACGTTTGTCTTCATTTGTGTGTTTTGGGTTGGCATGCGGTCAAGAGCTCTACTGCATTTTGCAGTTCTCATCCAGCTGTGCCTCGGAGATGGCCTGCGTCTGCTTGCGCTTCTCCCTCTGCTCCGGAGACAGCCTGCTGAGCGAGCGCTGGCTGGTTGGCTTGCTGGCGCCACAGCCTGGGGCCGTCCGGCTGGGACTGTTGGTGATGACTGTCATTGGAGAGGCCGACCACGCCGATGGGAGGCTGCCGATGGCCTGCTCCTTGGCCTGCTCCTTGGCTTGCTCCTTGGCCTGCTCCTTGGCCTGCTCCTTGGCCTGCTCCTTGCCCTGCTCCTTGCCCTGCTCAAGACGCGAACCGAGGAGGGTGAAGCTCTATGTTAGCATCACTCACGGCTCATACTCTCAACCGTTTGCAAGCCCGATGAGCAAACTAGGAATGATTTTACACAAATCTCTCTGTAGATAAAATTGTATATACCAAGAACGTGTTTTCAGATAAAGAGCCGTTTAAAGTTATTTTATATTTGAAAAGTGTAACTTTAGTTTATATATATATTTCAATATTTTCATACATATAAGTGGATCTATGAAATCTGGCTGGTAATGTGTATAAGTCCATAATTATTTTATTGAGAAAGTGGCAATGACAAAGGGGGTAAAACTAATGATGAATGTGAAAACCAAGCGCAGTACTATTAGAGCTACATGACCCGTAGTCAAAACAATGGTTGGCAAAAGGTAATACGAGTTCAGTGATGAACATGCAGCAGAGCAAGGATTCTGCTTCAGGGTACCACATAGGGAAAACTGCCATGAGAGATCCCCTTGGCTAGACTGCAGCAGGAAATTAGAATTATTGAGATGTGATGCAAGGCATTCTTAGTTGATGAATGATACAAGTACCACCCTATGAATGCGAATCGTTCTATCAAAATGTGCAGCATTACCATTGGGTTGCTGGCAGTGGCCGTGTTCCGAGTAAGGAGCTGAGGCTGCAGGTTTGTCACGGGGTGCTTCCGAGCGGGTGAAGGTGAAGCTGCTGCATCCTCTCCCCTCCGGGAGAGCATGGTGGTGCGACAGAGCACGTACGGGCTGGATTCCAGCACCAATGGGATGTCTGCAAAGCCTGTCCCAGCAAATGGGACAACAACATCTAATAGGATAATGACCGCAATCTGCTGTGAAGTGCATCCCTATGCTTTGCTTAAAGAAAGATGCATCATAAAACAACAAATAGCACGTATCTTATACATGCATACTATGCATACATTGTGTTCGCCGCTGTTCCACCCAAAATTGCCATTCATCATGAGAAACAAAACGTTGAAATCAATGTCAGACAAAGTATGTTGGTACTTTAGTTTCATGACCTATCGCTTATGAATGCGTAAATGCTATTTTGTCAGAACCCACTTTGGAAGCAGCATTCCTGATGGATTTGAAAGTATGTTTCTATTAATTAAACTTTAAACTCAACGGCTATTAATATTTTTGGTTGCATCTTATTTTAAGCAAGTTTATCATTGAATACAATTGGGATCACGTGAACACATAAATCATGTTAAAACAAACGATATACCAAAACACAAACAATGCTGCAAGAGACAGTCGTCAAGTGTCATAAGTACAAAATGTAGTAATAACCACCCACTTGCTTTTGGTCGGCAATACAAGAAATATAAGTATATTATGCTATTTCTAATAACATACAATAATTAGTGTCCCCCATCCTTAAAAAATACCCGCTCATAAAACTGACAAAATGTCGTGCTTAATTCAAAAATAAGTTAAATTCACCTTTGTTTACAACCTCCGGAAGCCCGTCTGGTTGGTAAGTGGTGCCTTCGCGTGCGGCAGTGCGCCTCCCCTCTGGAAGGGGCTTCATGCGCTTTGCCTCGGTCCTGTTTTCGACGTCGCCCTTCCTGCCACGCTTGACCGTCACCTGGTCTCCCTCATCACGCAGCGCTTTCCTGCAGCCTGCCCCTGGCCCTGAGACACAGCATTGCAAGGTATTCAGCATACCTTCCAAATAATTTTATTTCACGACACAACCCAGAGTCCACTCCTACAAACTTGAACAACAAACTAAAGAGGAACCTCATAAGTTATTTTGTAAATTATAAATTCCCACACATGTGCGGCATGTTTACAATAAATTATATTGAAATTTGCAAGTATTGAGTTCGCTATGCACTTGATAAATCGCCAACGAGTAAAATGTTTTGCTTAAAGATTATCTTGGGAATAATTGCTATTGTGTAGAGGTAATTGTATTTTTCAAAGGTGGGATATTTAAAGAGCCCTGACCAAGTAAATTTCGGGTAGGTTCCAAAGAATTATCCAGCCACCCGTAATGGATGTCGAGGAAGACAAATACTTCAAATACTTTAATGTATGTTGTTCACATTACTCGCTGGCGTCTTGCATATACTACATATTTTAACAGTCCTATAACGTTACTAATTTCCAATTTTGTTTCTAAAATAAGTAAATTTGTATCATGTCAATAAAAAATATATGTGAATAAATCATGCCACGGCCCTTGTCCAAATATACTTAAATTACATATATCAGTATTAAAACTAAAAACTTTAGCAAATCAACCACAATGAAATAATATTCTAAAGTAACAACATGGTAAGGTTTATCAATGAACACTTTAAAATCTAATATGTTTTGAATATGCATTGTGAAGTAAATTAATGTATAGCCTAGGAAAAAATAATAATCAAGATTGATTTACGAACATGCAACTATAAGACAAGACGTAAAATTAATAAGAGTTTATACACATTTAAACAGAATTCTTTGTGGTTCTTTCGGTAAAGTCACGTAGAAGGGAAACAATAAAATAATAAAATATATATATATAAAACAAATTCTCACGACGTTTCGACTGCAACACAAGCAATCATCATCAGGTGTGAAAACCACAACAAGAAAATTTGAAAAAAGTGTTGTGGTTTTCACACCTGATGATGATTGCTTGTGTTGCAGTCAAACGTCGTGAGAATTTTATTTTTTATATTTTTCCATTTGTTTCCCTTCTACGTGACTTACCGAAAGAACCAAGAATATGAATCCCTGCAGTCATGAAAGCTTTAAATGAATATTTAAACATAACTTTGAAAGCTCATTAATAGAAGTGAAACCAGATCGTGTGCCCTTTGTTAATCTGCACGCTTAAAATCATTTATAAAGAAAAACGCTTAATTATACAAATATTGTGAAAACTATTTTACATGCAAAATTAGATGTTTTACTTTTTCTTTTTAAGTACGTGATGTAATCCGCTTCTTGAATTACCCCACCGGAGTGCATCTCTAAGCATCACAAAAGGCTTAAGCCAAGTGAAATGGCCATATCAACAACAATCTAATATGACTCTAGGGTGCACCAATATGGCCCACAAGTGAGCAACCGAGCCAATAACCATCACATTGCTGAAAAGATAGAGCCTTATTGCTTACATACGGACAAATATGTTGTTGCTATGGCAATGAGGCAATGTGATAGAACTGCAAATAAACGTTGCCATTTCACACACTGACTTTGTCGATGTATGCATTAATATAATCTCTGCTGCAATGTACCTGGTTCAAGTGATCTCTACTTTATCTGTTATTTTTCTGATAGCTCGATGGATTGAGTAACTCAAGGACGGTAGAGTCCAAGTATGTATTAGCCTAAAAACCCATGTTCACATGTGTGCTAAACTCAATACAGTCGTCTAAATAATACATACTACACACATTATTTCAAACCATAGTCACCTGTACGGTTATCAGGCCAACTGAGCATTTCAGTTTGGTATGCTATTTTTATTAAATGCTGGTAAACAGTTCTGTTGTGGTTGGCTATGAACGCACAGGAACTCTCAGATGAGCCGTTCCATTCATGCTACCCCAAGGGATAACATCGGGAAAAGAAAGCCGCGCTGATACAGCTGCAAATGAGGCAACGACGTTCTGTATCGCACGGCACAACAAACTGAATAAAGGTATTTTACATACATTTGTATTCAATCTCTGTGTTTAGGTTTTGGAACTTACAAATACCAGGGCATGTATGCACATGCAGACACTACTGTAAAATGTAAACGTATAAAATGAAATGAGATTAAACGTCCATTTGTATATGTTTGGGTAGAGTGCTTGCCGTTCTCTTGTACAATTTTATAGGAAAATGATAGTTGGGGTAATTATGCGATTAATTGACAGAACTTGTAATCAACTCATCTTTTGTGGTTGATTACTTGGGCCCCTTTAAAAATGGTGGCCGCCCCGCATGCTGTTTACTGAAGGCAGAAAACCCCTACAAGCCATTCCTTGCACAACGCGTCTGATAATGCCAAGTAACCATGCCATGCTCATCACCTCCCGTCCAGCGACACACATGGTAAGAGGTGAGGCATTTTCCAAATATTGTTGTGCTGTCTAATGAGTGATCGAAGCAATAATTGGTAGAGTAATCGATTACTTAAATAATTGTATAGGCCAGCTATAAAAGCCCCATCTTTATCAGCCTGCTTTTTGTATAACAAAAAATTATCTCACCTGCTCCTTTCAGGGATCATTTTCAGAGCAGGGTTAGCAGGAGTATCAGTAATAAATAAATGCAAAAACAGAGGTAACCATGCACTGCCTCTTTAAAATCAATTTCACAGCAGCTTGTGCCAATTTTCCAGCTGGTCTCCAGTAAATAGCTCAGCATATGGTGCAGCTGATAAAAGGCACAACTTGGCAAATGAAAAACCTGATGAAATATCGAAGGGCATACACAAATGCAAGAGTTTCCCAGTATTCTCATGAGTGTAATGTGAGTAATTGATTTAAATTAGCGTATTCACATTGGTCTTTTCCCAGAGTCTTTAAATAGGGCAATTGCCATGCTTTATGGCACAAACTCCTGCAGGTACAAATGATAGTTGCAAGAACATAGTTTTGAAGACCAGCATCTTTACTGCATTGCACTGAACTTAGAGTGAAGAGTAATGCCTTTAGCATGCTCATGTACTATAGCTATGATATCGGTCACTATAACCTGCAAGGATGTGGATAGTCGTGCCCATTCCCTGCCTGTAACCATGTCACACTCCAAATGCTTGAAACTTCAAAGAAACAATCTTGAGATGCCAGTGGATTTTTCAAATGGGAATATGTACGTACAACACCAAAATCTAAGAACGATACATATAACAGTAGCCCCGTCAGTATGCCTAGTGTGTACTATAGTATAGCCCATTGTCAATTCACTGCTGAAGATCTCCCCCATGTTGTGTCGCTCACACTGGTTAACAAAAGGCTGTAGATTTGTATTATTTTTAAAGGTCATTTTATATGAACAATGTACTGCACCTTGCAGAGTCTTCAGTTTCCCCTCCATCTTGTGAATTCGCTTGTGCAGTTCCTCTTTCTCCTTCTCCAGCTGCCGACCGTTGCTCATCCACAGCTGTAGTTTTCCTTGCAGAGCAGCCTTTTCCTTGGCCAATCGGGCTTTGTCTGCTTCAACTTCCGCCACCTGGTGGGCAGCAACAACATAAGACAGGAAACGTGTCTTTGTGAAAATGTTCAAAGGGGAGCGCAGAACAAAATAATGATTGAAAGCAAGATAGGCATATATGCATGGGTGTGGGGAACAGCAGCTCCCTGGGAATACATATTTGGCTAGAGACATGATACTACAGTAAAATGTGTACAAGCAGATCTCCATTCTGTGCCTTAACACGTAAATAGTGTACATTTTCAGTCCACCAGCCTATTGGCTTTCCGGCCCAATATTGTCCAGCAGCATTCGTTCCAGTAAACAAGCAACCTCTGGACCAGTTTCAACCTATTCCATCGCATCAGCAGAGTTGGGCTTATTCAATTAATTCTATAAATGTGTCGTTAAAACCCGTCGCCACCCGACAAAGCCAACTAGTAAGGATTGTCACGTAAACAGAACGTGGCCAATTCGTCACTAGTACAGCACACCGGTGTGTTGGAGAGCCAAGGAACAACATTTACAATTTTCGATTTAAAGCTTTCGTGACTGCAGGGATTCATATTCTTGGTTCTTTTCGTAAAACCCGCCACCACCCGACATTAGTGTTTTATATTTTTATTATTTTATTGTTTTCCTTCTACGTAACATTTACAATCCGAGTACGACGTTTTGCCAGTAATTAGCTTCATCGTTTACGTAACAACCCTTACTAGTTGGCTGTGTCGGGTGGTGGAGGGTTTTAACGGCTTATATATTTACGCGATCTAACCCAAAAACCTCTTATGGATGATATAGGTCGCGAAAGCCTACGTGTTAAACTCAATTAATTCTGTTGGATTGCTAGATGTTATTTGCAAAAATAACTGTCTTACTACTGTATATACATTCATACAACTCGTACTTTCTTATAATTCATGAGTAATACAACACTGTTACTATATTATTTAACTGGACTCCTGCATGTATGCCATCCCATTGATCAAACTGTTACTGCCGTTTTTAATAATCCTTAACAAGCATTCACTGCAAACAAAAATCTATTTATCAAAATGCACAATGATGAATATGGGCTGGCCAAGCCGCTATGGACCCTGCATTCATACCCCACTGACCCTACAATTCTCCACAAAGTTTTGCGAGACTCCCTAAGCTCTAATGTGCACTATTAAAACGTTCACGCTGCAAGAGCTGCCCGGTGATGTATCAGTGGCAGTGACAGTGGGGGGAAAAACCATGGTCATCTCACTTTGGCATCAAGGAGTTCTTGCTTGCATTTCTCAGCATCCTTCAGTTCGGTGTCATCGTGCTCCTTGGCTAATTTCAGCATGGCGATCTTCCTGTCCTGGCTGGAAATCTGTTCCTGCAGATCATTGATCTGATGCTCAAGCCCGATCCTCTCTGCCGAATTCTGTGACAAAGCAAGCCATTATCAAGAACGGTTCCTGTTGACTTTATGGTTTAATCACGGTTGCCGAGCACAGGCCCAAAGGTCCAACATATCAAGTGGCCAGCAACAAACAGCACCAAATTTGAGCAGTGCGAGGAAAGAATCAGAAAGAGACGTGTATTGACCTGCACTGTGTGTGGTGGTTGAACATAGTATGGATGAGATGAAAGAGTCAGTCTGATAGACCAAGGCCTCAATGTGAGTTCATGGGAATCGTTCCATATTGGTTATTGGGTTCATGCACATGGTAGTTTTATGCTCAAATTCATGTAATCAACTCTAGCAGAAAATATGTTCACATTTATATATGCACAGCGCGATAAAAGAAAAAAAACACTTACATTTACACGTGCCAATGAATTGATCGAATTCTGATCAATAAAGCTCACGGGTGACTTAAGACTTTGCATGACTACCTTTAACCTCCACACGGAGTACCTAACCCCACCGCACAGGATCTGCCGATCGACTGTAGCGTACCCAATCATATTATTGGGTTGATAGAGGTGGCGACAGTGGGGAATTACAGAAACTTACACCATTGTTTTAACTGCCATGCCAGGAGAATGAACCCACCCAGTGATCTCTGAATTGCAAATCCACTGCTCATCGTTAAACGAAGACATCAATTATCATTGCAAAGACCACTTCTTTTAAAGTATCACATCATTGAAGGTACCTGAATCCTCAACGTACAAGCCGCCACCTCCAGTTGCTGATGAGCTTCCTGCAGAGTCTTCAATTTGAACTTCAATGCCTGATTTTCCATCCTCGCCTCTCCGTGTTTTGCTGCCATCTCTGCACGCAAGGTCTCGTGCTTGACAGACATTTCGCTAAGAGCAGAATCATAATCACCCCGGACGGAGAGTAGTTGCTCATCATGCTGGGAATGCAGCACAGTTAATGCCCTATGATTTTTCACCTGCATTTCCGCCAATCTTCTACCATTCTCTTTGTGAAGCTCCTCCACAAAAGTCTGCTGTTTGTCCTGCAGTTCTGCCAGTGCAACATTACTCTTCGCCTGTAGCTCAGACAGCACTTGGTGCACAGACTGAAGCTCCACACTCAATGCGTGACGGGCGTTCTTCAGGCTGGCGACGTGGCTTTCTGCCGCAGCAGCCCTCTCCTGAGCCACAATGCGACACACGAGTCAGAAATTACTATTCAGGTTTGCAATTTTAGAAATGACAAATATATTCCTGTTGTGACTTACGCAGATTTAAAGTACTTTGATTTAAAAATGTGGAAAAAGATGAATATGGCACATACATTTACCTAAAATATTAAACAGGAAGATAAAAAAACACATTTAGAAATTGTACGTTTGATAGTGAAACACCTGTTTAATTAAAACAAAACTATAACCACTTTAAAAAATAATATATCTTTTGAACTTAATGAGCTATTTTTCAGCAACGAGTCAATCACGTTTACAAGTTCTTATTTTCAAAGTGAACACGGAAACCCCACCTGCATAATATCATACGCCAGCTTTTGGGCATGGCATTGTGAGAGCCATTCATCCTTCTGTCTTTGCCATTCCTGCAGCTCAGATTTACAAGATACCAACTGCTCATTTAGAAGTTTAATTTGTTCCTGCAAATGGACAGCTGTATCCAAATGGCATGCCATTTCAACCTCGACTTGAGAAGAGTGCTTCTCAAACACCTTCCTGGTATTCATGTCATCTTCCTGCTGCCTCTGCAGGGTGTCTCGCAGTGCAATGATGGTGGACTTGGCCTCATCCACTTGATGTTGCTTCTCTTTCAATTCCTCAACGAGCTCCTGCTTTTCTGCAGACACAAGGTCCAGTTGCGCTTTGCAAGACTCGTAGCTTTCTGTTGCCACGTTTTTTTCTTCCACAGCTGTCTTGGCATCCTCTTCGATTGCTTCTTGGCGCAGAACCATGTCTTCTAAGCTGGCCTCGCTCATCTCCAACTCTCTTTTCAGCTGCTCAATCTTATCCTGCAGGGCGTCATGTTTCCTCTCACTGTGGCGTATCTTTTGCTCCATTTCTTTTCTCTTCCTGTCATCCGCTTCAAGTATCAACTTGAGCTTCTCGATGTAGCGCTTTAGCTCACCTATGGCCTCCTCGGTAGAATTTAGCTGCTTGCCAAGCATAGCCTTCTCAAGAAGCACAGAATTCACTGACTCCAAGACCCTGGAATGTTCATTTTGGAAGCACTCTAGCTTTGCCTGTGAAGTTGCAGCCTTCTGCTCTGCCAATTCTTTCATATTCCTCAGGAGCTCAATGCTTTCCATCTTTTCTTTATACTCCAAAGATTTAGCTAAAGCCTCATTATCAAGGTTCTGGAGCTTATTACAAAGTTCTTCTTTTTCGTTCAACATACGCAAAAAACCTTCTTCACAAACTTGCAGTCGTTCCTTAAATTCTAACAATTCAGCTTTTAGGGAGCAAATGAATTCAGCAGCTTCCACTTTTTCCAACCTTGTTGTAAACAACTGGCTGTTTTGAATCTCATAGCTGTTCTGCAATGTTGCATGTGCATTTGAAAGGCTGTGCAGCTCTGCAGCAATTTGCGCATGTTCAGCTTTTACTGAGACCATCTCTTCTTTGTGCAGTGCCAATAGTGTCTGCTCATTTGGCATGTCAAGTGAAGCATTCTTGGAATATACATCCTGAGCATCAGCTTTCAATGACAAAATCTGCTTTTCTAGATTAAGCTTCTCCGACTTGATATGCTGCATTTCATTTTCAAGATCCTGAATTTTGTCTTCTAACAAGGTCCTGTTCAGTTCTAGACTGTGCAGCTTATCAATCAAATCAGAACCTTTGGCCTGTTCATGCTTAGACTGAGAGAGAACACTGTCCAAGTCTTGCTCAAGGCTCTTAACTTTTTTCAAAAGATTGTTCTGGTTTGTCTCAAAAACACTAACCTGTTTGAGTACAACTGAATTTTTCTCCTGTAAAGCGTCTATATTACAGGACAATTCACATTCATCTGCCTTGATTGAATTAAACACAATCTGAGATTCCAAAATTTCTGAAACCTTATCGTTCGTTATGTCTTTAGCACTGTGAGTACCTTGAATACTTTCTTCCTGCAAATTATCAATATTAAGCTGAATGCTGAGCTCAACAACGTTGTTTAGCTGGTCATCTAACTCAATGGACATTGTTAAATCATGTCCTTCATGCATTTCTTCTGCATGTGCACTTTCTACATCATGGTCACGTTTTGGCCTTTTATGAAAGCTTTCCACATCTGAATCATTGGTATCTATATTATCCCGTAATGAATGAGGTAAATGCTGTACCATGTTACACTCTGATTTGGTGAGTACTTGTCTCATGGGTTCTTGTGTGTCTTTAAGTTTTTCTTGTAGGCCAAGCACTTGCTTATGCAATGCCAGACATTCTACTTGTGCGTTATTATTACTTTGCCGAATGAGAGTCTCAGCCATGTTCTTCTTATCTGAGCGAAGAGATTCAATAACACTGTTCAATTCAACCACATGTTCTGCTGTCTGTTGAACCTTTTCTTGTAACTCATTATGACAGCTCTGCAGCGCCTCATATTGCCCTTGCAATAACAGTCCTTTATGATATTCAACCTTCAACTCTTCCTGTTCTTCAAGAGCCTGTGTAAGAAGGGATCCAGCTAAAATCTTCTCCTGTAAAGCAAATGTATTTTCTTCTGACAGTAAATTGCAGGTCTTCTGAAGAGCATCATAGTTTGTCTTGAGATCTCTAAATTCCTCACTCAGGACACCATAATCTGCTTTCAGCTGACATAACTCAGTTTCTATATTTATACTGGAATTTTGTTCAGATGATGGTAACGAGCAGACATTTAAACAATGTTGTGTGGGTGGAATATTTACAGCATTTTCTTCATCATTGTTATTAGTGCCAGTTAACTGTATTATAGCATCTTGTTGTAAAATGCAATGACTTTGTCTTTTGGTCAGCTGTTCCTTTAGTGCATTAGATTCTGATTGTAAATCATTGTACATGTTTCTAGCTTTGAAAATATTCTCTTCTGAAAGCTTTAACTCTTTTGTGAGATCACAGATAATTGAATCCTTAGCTGCGATGTCACTATTCCTATTGTCAACATCTGTTCTGAGATGGCCTGCTTCCAAAAGACTACTTTCCAACTGCTCTTGCACACAGTGGAGTTTCTCTAAGAGACCATTTTCACGACAGTGTGCATTCTCCACATCTACCCTTAGATCAGATAGCAACTTCTCCTGCTCTACAACTTTATATCCAAGTGATTCAGCAGAGGCTTGGCTCTCCAAAAGCTGACTGCTCAGAGCATCACAGTGCACCCTTATTTCTTCCAATTCTTGTCTCACTTTGTCAACGTCTTCATTTTCAGATAACCTATTATCGAGTGACTCAATTGTATCCTTGAGCTGCTTGATTTGTGACTCGTACAATTCCAAATTCACGTCTTTGTCTTCCAGATCCATCTGAAGCATCTCCAAATTCCCTGAAATCTTCAGAAAGTCAAATCTACTCTCCTCTAGTTTCACTTTTAGATGTTCCAGTTCCTGATGCTTTTCATGAAGTGTGACTTTTGTTTTGGTATTTTCCCCCTCTAGTTGCTGAAGCTGTGCAGTCTGCTTGCCAATAATCACATCCAACTGTTCAAATCTCTTGGTATAATCATTTTGCCTTGCAATCATCTTTTCTTCTCTTGACTCCAAATGTTGCTCGTTTTCACAAATCTTTTGTTCCAGATTCTGATTGCTCAGTCGTAGAGCCTGATTGTCCTCTTGAACGTCAGACAATCTGCAATTAAGCATGGTCATTTCTTCATTAAATTGCTTAACCTCAGATTCTGCCTCAGCCATTAAATAAGCAATTTTATTATTATTTGTATTGTCCTGCAACTCTGCTTGCTTAAGCTTTTCCACCAACTCACACTTGCTCTCTTCCAGCTGTTTAATAGCTGACATAAGTTGCTCGAGAGCCTCATGAGAATTATCTTTCACCTGTGCAATTTCCAAGATTTTGGATGTCAATTCTTTATCCTGCTCACTTAACATATATTCTAGCTTTCTTTGCTTTTCCACACTGGTCATGTATTGTTCTTGAAGATTGGCCAATTCCTTTTCTGCCTTGGAGGCCTGGCTTTTTGTTTGTAAAGAATAATGTTCAGCCTGTTGCAGTTGGCTTTTAAAATTATTAATAAGAGCTTCATTTTCATCTTGCAATTTTAGTAGTTGTTCCTTTTCCTGCTGTAGCATTACATTTTGCGCCTGAAGTTCACGTACATCCTCCTGCAGTTCGTTACACTGAGACTCTCTGGAATGCATTTCATTTTCCAGTTCACTTTTCAAACAGTTAACTGTAGTCTCCAGCTCTTTTATCATTTCTTCATATTCTGTCATTTGGTTTTGCCTGCTTGTGAAATCTTCATAAGCTTTTGCCTGCTCTTTCAAGCAAACGTTTTCTTCCAGAATTTTAGCAAGGTAACTGTCACTTTCTTTACTCTGGGTGGCATAACCTTCAAGTTGCTTTGATTTCATTATTAGATTATGATGTGCTTCCTCAAGATCCAGCTGCAGTATTGTATTCCTTTCTTGCTGCAGCACAAGGTTGGCCTGTGTATCTTTAAGTTTTTTTGAGATATCGTTAAAATTTGAGTTCTTTTCTTCGAGGACTTTTTTTATATTTTCAAGTTGCGTAGCCTGTTCATTTAGGTCTTCTTCCATTTTGGATGTGTTTTTATAAAATTCATGTTGCAGCTTGGTATACAACGCAGACATCTCCAGTGTCTGTACCTCAGCCTTCGACATTTCTAGCAACTGGGATTCATATTTAATTTCCAGCTCACTGCACGTTTGCTTATGAGCAATAAGAGATGACTGTAGAGTCGACAAATGCTCCCCCAAAATGGTAAAATAATGCATTAATCTCACAGACGGCTCAATTGTTGAGAGGTTTTGCTCTGGTGTGTCCAACATTTTATGTCCAAATTCTTCATTAGTGTTGCCCTTTTCCTCAAATAATGTCCAATGTGCCTTTTCAAGCTCTTCAACAATCTTCAGCAATGCATCTTTTATCACTTTTAATTCTGCTTCCTTTGATTCAAAAAGATGCTCTTTAGACTTCATCAAGTTGTTGATATTTGTAAGCTGTCTCTCTAAACCCGCAGTTTCTTCTTTAAGTTCAGCATTAACATTTTTCTCAAAGTTCAGCTGATGTTCTAAACCTGCCACCTTTTCAGAGAACTGTGTCGAGCTTTTTGTCAACTCAATAATTCCCGTGCCTTGTTTCTTCACAGACTCCTCGAGCTCTTCTTGTAGTGCCCACACTTTTTCTTTGAGTGTTGTGTTCTTCAGACATTTGTTGTCCAGTGCCTGTTTTAGCTCACATAGCTGTGTCTTTATTATTTTATTCTCCTGCTCAAGCACATCAGTGTTTTGCTTCCCCAGTGGGGCAGACAGGGTTTGCTCCATCTGTGCCTCCAGGTCGTGTACCTTCTCAGACAGCCCATCCCTTTCCAATTTCAGTTTGTTTAGGTTATCAGACATTTCCTTTTTAAGCTGAATAAGGGATGCTTTTTCATCTTCCAAGGAGCTGCATTCACTTGCCATGTGACACAACTTATTCTTAAGATCTTCATTTTCAGTTGTAGATGCAGACAATTTGAAGTGCATTTTTTCCATCTCCAATTCATTTTTCTTTACCACAGCTAAAGAAATATCTCTCTTCTTTTCCAAATCGGATATAATAATCTTTAGATTATCCACATTGCCATTTAGTGACTTGCTTTGCTTTTCCAATTTTGATTTTAAGTTTTCAACTTCAGTTTCTTGAGACACCACTTTCCCTTTAAAACAAACAACACAAACATGCAATAAGTATACATGTCAGTCTCCTTTCAAATACTGTACAAAACACAACTTCCAAAATTAAAAGTATGCCCAGAAAAAGCCTGCTTGGAGTTCTAGGTGAATTACTTTCACAGTATTGAGTGTGGGAGGAAACCAGTGCTTGGCAAAAACTCATATCTACAGGAAGCACTCAAGAGGCCAGCAACTAACTTGTTCATTGCCTCCAACAGACAGGTACCATCACTGCCCGTTTTTCAGGGGACCTTAGTCATGACCAATTCTATGAACAAATTATTTTATCAGTGGCATGTGGCAACACACCAAACACAACAATAACGGATAAATACAAAAAAAATGTTGGTACGTACTCTGTAAGTCTTCCTGTAGTCTCTGGCTGTCATAGAGCTCTTGCTTGAGATTTTTCATATCATCTTCAAACTTTCTTACCCGATGGGCACTCTGCTCCAAGTTGCAGCTTAAGTTATTCTTCTCTTTGGTGGCTTCCTACACGAAAAAAAATAACCACTTTTGCTGCTTAAAAAAGAAACAACTTTAATGTGGGTCATACATTTAATTCATAAAAGAGGTTTTTGGGTTAGAACTCGTAAATATATAAATGTGTCGTTAAAACCCGCCACCACCCGACACAGCCAACTAGTAAGGGTTGTCACAAACAGAACATGCCAATTCGTCACTAGTACAGCACACCGGTGTGTTGGAGAGTCAAGCCACAACATTTACAAACCGAGTACGACGTTTCGCCAGTAATTACAACTAGCTTCATCAAGCGACAGCCAGATTTGTGGAGAAGTCTTACTGTTTCGTTCCTTATATAGAGGCGTAGATGTGTTGACCACCCTTTGCGCTCTTGCACAATGATGGGAGGGGATGGATTACTGAGGCAACGTACATTATTGCATGTGCATTATGCGAGCCCTTTGAACTTGTCCTTCCTGCCTATTGTGCTTATTAAAATAGCCCTACCAACGGTAATCCCTATTGAAGTACGCTGCCCTTTGTAGGCATGCATTTTAATAATGTATTATTTTATGATTCGCTTCCAAGTAGCACTAAGATGGTAGCTATCCATAACGGTTAAAGTTATTTTGATTTCTTTGAATTTCGATATATTCTCTAATTAGTCTTCGCCAGTAGTAGCTAGTTTTGCACAAAACGTCAACATTATCAAAATCAATTGAGTGTCCTTGTTAGCACGCGTGTTCTGCTACTGCTGACATTTGGGAGAATTTAATATTTCTCTGATGTTCTTTTAGTCTCGTGCTGATCATTCGTCCTGTTTGCCCAACATAACATTTACCACACGTGCAGTTAATCCTGTACACACCTTCTGTTGATAGCTTCGGTAATACATCTATTGTACCACATATTAATTCTGTATTTTATGTACCGTGCCAAATCTAACACGGATGTTTTGTTTTTCCAAACATCTGGCTAGTTTATCAGTTACTCCCGCAATGTACGGTATTTTGACCGTTTTAATTACTTGGGCAGTTTCAATGCTCTTGTTATTTTATTTGGTTTTGGTATTCAATGCCCTGTTGGATTTGTGCATCATTGTAACCGTTCATTTGCAGTGCTTCTTTAACATGCTGAATTGAACTTCCAGGACTGTGACCATCTGACACTTTCTTAGCTTGATGAATGAACGTCTTGATAAGAGCAGATTTCTGTGCGAGGTGATGGTGTGACTCTGCATTCAGATAGGCGTCGGTATGCGTTTTCTTTCAGTAAACACTTATTTTATATTTTAATTATAAACTTAATTATCAGTAGAAATATAATTAACACCCCATATTGTAATTAAAAGCAAATAAACTGTAATTTTGTAGTCCAAACTAAGTGTAAACTCTAGACTCTATGTGAACTGTTGAGAAAATGGGACATAAAATGCTGTGTTGGTACCTCCAAGCTGCATTTGGCATCTTTCGTCATGTCCTGATGCAGCTTGACATTGCCGTTGGCCTTCTGCAACACCTGTTTAAGCTCCTGCACCTCCTTCTCCTGAAGCTGCTTCTGAAGCAAAGCCTGATAATACAACGGCAACACCAAGGATATGAGCTATTGGTCTGCAGCCTTAATCCACTGGAACATTGCATCACTTTCTATCCATGTTGTGATGGGACATTTATCCCTTGGGTTTAAGTTGAGATAAATAGAATAGCACAATGTTAACGGGGGCAATATTATAATGTGGTCTCTGGGAGGTTTTTTGTGCTATTTAACTGGCAAGCTATAGCATATCAAGAATCTGTGTAAATAAACCGCAATTGAATAACCAGTCATTTTTTGTTACCTTAATTAATATAAACTGCTAATTTAATATAAAGGTTGTTCATTTATTAAAGTATTTTTGTTAAAATTACTGAAAAAGCATTTTTTATTATAACATGTAAAAAGGGCTATTGCTATGCAAGTTTATTTTTAGCTCATCCTGTAGTCTTTACAATTCTACAGAACATCAAATACAGAGGCTCCTTAAACTGAATGTGCAGTATGTGGCATACTACCGTAGCACATCCATGGTTACCAAGCTCGGACTGCGATTTAGTTTTTAAATATATTTAAATATTTTGAATTGTTCATATTAATTTAATTACTCAAAATCACAAGCCGAAGGCTTCTCAAGCTGACAGAATGCCAGGTAAAAGAGCCTTAGAATAAAATAAAGATACGAAAAATGTATTGCAGTAATTATAGACCAATGCTGTAAGATGTAACACCGTGAAAAAACACATCGGTAAAAGAGATGTTGCTTGTCAAATAAGCGACAAAATGCCTTTCAAAAGTATGCATACAATTGATGACCATGGAAAAACAAAGTGATTAAATCTGCGATGGAAAATGCAATATTAACATCTTTTCTGTATGCATGATGGACAACAAATATAAAAACAAGTATCTGCATCAGCGTAGAACTGAAATAAAAACTACTGATGTCATTAAAAAAGTCTGGTTTAAAAAGCAACACCAACCTTGTCAAATTCAGCTTGTAGGGCATTGTGCTCATTCTTGGTGTGCTGCAGCTCCTGGCCAAGCTTCGTCTTTGTCTGGCTCAGCTGTTGGTCCAAGCTATTGATGTTGTGCTCCAGCCTTGCCACCTCCTACAATGGGAACACACTGCTACCATCAAGCATCCCTGGATAAGCCACTCAATTGCGTGTACAACACAAGTGGAATTTACGCAGTAACGTTTCGAAACACCACAGCTAAATGTGTCAACATCATATCCAGCCTTTATGTAACAGACACAAAGAAATGGCACCGCCAGTCCACATTGAAATTAATTGATAAAATAAACTGTCACAGACCTTTAGAGATATTAGCATATGAAAATATCAGACTGATCTAATGATTCTCATTTGCTACCTTCTCTATTTGCCATAACTTTAACGAATCAACCATTACCATTGAATATTGGTTAAATAAAACAAACAGCATTTTTATTTAGCATGCAAGAGTTCGCGGTCAACAGAGAGTTCAAATATAATGTGTGAAGGTATTGTCGGATGAGTGTGGATCTTAAAGAATCAACTTCCCTTTAACATTTGATCTTCCATTCAATTGGGGCAACCATCTCACTGCAAGAAATATCCACATCCATATGCTCTATTTACCTTCAATAACTGGTAACGATTCAACACATTACATAAAATCCGTGATCTGGTTCCATCTGTAAAAGATGTGATTCCGGACATACAGTACCCTGGCGTCTACAAACTAAGTTGCCTCTGTGGTAGTAGTTACATTGGAGAAATCAAACGACATGTCTCGGACCGCATCCGTGAACACAAAGCAGACCTAAAACACGGTAGGACCAACACCTCGGCCGTGGCAGATCACTGTTATAATTCAGTAGGCTCACATGACATTGACTTCTCCAAGACAGAGGTTCTCTGCAAGCCATCTGGCTATCATGAGAGATTCGTTCATGAGGCTATCCACATATACAAACACAGAGACAATTTCAACCGAGAAGATGGATTCTGGCTTGGCAATCATTGGAAAGTTTTGATAAACCATTTCGAGTCTTAATTGATTGTTCATGCTTACGGTGGCTTTCAGACCGCATCCATTATTTTCGTCTCCCCCCCCTCCTCTTTTCCAAACATAGATGGACTCGTCCATCTGAATAGCTGCCAAATCGCTCTCCGTGGTGTTAACGTTAAAAAAACCGCCACTTTTTTCAATTTTTCTTGTTGTGGTTTTCACACCTGATGATGATTGCTTGTGTTGCAGTCGAAAAGTCGTGAGAATTTTATTGTTTAATATTTTTATTATTTTATTGTTTCCCTTCTATGTGACTTTACCGAAAGAACCAAGAATACTATATTATGAGTTCAATAGGTTGTACACTTTCTGATTTATGGTTAGTTTTGACATTGCAAAATCAATGTTTAGAAAACATTTTTATATATATAAACATTTGCACATTAGTTATGGTCTTTCAAACCAATTTAATGCAATTATATAAAACGTTTCAACAAAGGGCCAAAATACATAATGAGGAAAGGTGCTTTATTATAATAAATGCACTCGTGTTTTTATGTTAACATTGTTTAATGTAGCACATCGCAGACATGTTAAACTTAATGAGATAAGCAAACAAGAAAATTGAGCATCGTGTTCTCTGTCAAAACAGTCAACCACAGCCCTTTGAGAATGTCCACTTCCTGAATTATTGTGCATATGCCTGAGCAAGTCTAATTGATTTTCTATCTTTCAATACTGCAATTATTCATAACTCATGTATGATTGCTCCCTACTAGAATGGGCAACACCCAACTACATACAGGAGAATAGGTGGTGCATGTAGGAGACAGCAGAGCAAGCAGGTAAATTACCAAATTGTGCAGAGTTTGCACCGTTACCCTCCCACATGCTTGGGTGTTTTCTCTCCAGGTACTCCAATTTATTCCCATTGAATTAGCAAAACCAGAGTATGACTCAACAGGGCGTTTGACGATTAAAATTAGAGCTGGAACAAAGAATTAAGTAAAAAAGCTTACTAGTTTATTACTTAGGTCCCTGTCTCCCAAAGGAGGGAAACCCCAAACAAACCACACCCACACACCCAGTGTGACGTGGCTCATGATACCAATGACATCAACAAATCCCGTCCATCATCTTCCAGCCAGTGGCACGCATGGAAAAAGACGCTTTACTTTTTCCAATTCTTGTCATGTTATTGCATAATTCAAGGAATCGAACAGATAATCAGGAAAGTAAAACATTGTTAATAATAAAAGTGAATGTTCAATAGAGTGCATAGATCAACCATTACGTACATGTTAAGCCTGTGACCACTAGTCTAAGACGAAAAGTGCAGGTGTAGCAGATGTAAATTAAGTGCATGCATATGACCTCTTGCTGTTCTCTCTCCTTGTCCTTGAGGCGCTGCTCTGCCGCCAGGCGTGCCGACTCGGCGTTCTGTCGCTGGCAGTTCATCTCCTCTGCCACGTGCTTGAGCTTCTGCTCCAGTGCAGTCACCTTTACACCAGCAGCAGCAACCAAAACATCATGCACATGGGGAAAACAAAATTCGTTTAGCTGTGGGGCACGTTGGCAGCAAAAGATAGCTCCTGTAAAATGGTAGAGTCGGTAAGCAGTGCCAGGGCCATTCACATTAACATATCATAAGCTTTTAAATTATACCTTAATTCATTGAAATTGGTGGAGTGGTTTAGAAGTTATCTTAACAAACCTACAATTACATTTTCCCATGATAGATACCCTCCACCTTAAGTACTAAAGAACAGCTTAAATTGTCCAGCATATCATCATACCTTGCTTGGTTCTGCTGCTTTATAAATTGCTGAACAAAAAAAGGATGTGCATCAACAATTTGCATTACACGTTGATAGTAAGTTAATAGTGTGCCTAAATACAGTACTTGTTATTCGACATTCAAAATGATGCAGACTCATCTCCCCAAAAGCATTGCTTCAAGCATTCTTGCCTGCTGGCAATGGGTGCGAGCATTCGTTTTCATTTTTTTAAGTTTCATTTATTTGGTATAGCCCTGTGAGCCATTCGGCTCTTCAATCCGGTGCAACAGCAAAAAAACAAAAACATGAACAAGAAAACATCTTCAAGTGACTACAGTAAAACCTTGGAATGCGAATAACTGGGTCTGCAAGTGTTTTGCAAGACAAGCAAATTTTTAAAATAAATATTAATTTGAAAAACGAGCGAGGTCTTGCAATGCGAGTAGTATGTATACGCTTTGTCTGCCAAGCGTCACGTGATCACAACTGATATACGAGTGCTTTGGATTACAAACACGTTTCCGAAACGAATTATGCTCGCAATCCAAGGTTTTACTGTATGTGACTTTGTGCAAACAGAAAATCCAAGAAAAGACGGCAAAATATTGCAGAAAAAGCACCATACACCAACGCTAATGGTTACTCCGACTACACAATCCGCAAAGCTATCACTCCAACCATAAAGAAGGACCCTCTTGAGGAGCCTTTCAAAAGCATCACTTTACCCTACATTGCGGAGATAACAAAAAAGATCTCCAAAATCTTGAATAAACACAAGATCCAGGTCCGATTCAATACATTACATAAAATCCGTGATCTGGTTCCGTCTGTAAAAGATGTAATTCCGGACATACAGTACCCTGGCGTCTATAAACTAAGTTGCCTCTGTGGTAGTAATTACATTGGAGAAACCAAACGACATGTCTCGGACCGCATTCGTGAACACAAAGCAGCCCTAAAACACGGTAGGACCAACACCTCGGCCGTGGCAGATCACTGTTATAATTCAGTAGGCTCACATGGCATTGACTTCTCCACGACAGAGGTTCTTTGCAAGCCATCTGGCTACCATGAGAGATTCGTTCATGAGGCTATCCGCATATACAAACACAGAGACAATTTCAACCAAGATGGATTCTGGCTTAGCAATCATTGGAAGGATTTGATAAACCATTTTGGGTCTTAATTGATTGTTCACGCTTACGGTGGCTTTCAGACCGCATCCATTATTTTCGTCTCCCCCCTCTTCTTTTCCGAACATAGATGGACTCGTCCATCTGAACAAACTGTCAAATCGCTCTCCGTGGTGCTAACGTTAAAAATAACCGCCACTTTTTCAAATTTTCTTGCTGTGGTTTTCACACCTGATGATGATTGCTTGTGTTGCAGTTGAAAAGTCGTGAGAATTTTATTGTTTAATATTTTTATTATTTTATTGTTTCCCTTCTACGTGACTTTACCAAAAGAACCAAGAATATGAACCACAAGACAACTTAGATTAAGGCCATTAGTCTAACGTTAACTTGGCTCAGTTCCCAAGATGTAATTAATGCAGGCCTGAAGGCTGCAGGATACGTGGAACCAAGGTGTCAGTAAGACGAAGCAATAATACCTTAGCAACTGCTTGCTCGTGCTGAATGTTCAAGCGAGACAGTGCATTCTGGGACTTGAGCAGGCTTTGCTCCTTCTCCACCAGTTCTGTCCTAGCTGAGTCCAGCTGTCCCATGGCAACGTTCAGCTTGCTGGCATAGCTCTCCAGCTCCATCTCCTGGTTATGCACTCGCTGCTCCAACTCCCTCTCTTCATTAAAATACCAAAAAATGCAAGTGAGCGACCGCGTACAGCAAAAGCTTGCACAGCAATGTAACAATCGCCAGCTGTCAATGTTTTCAAAGTGCGCATTATTTCATGAAATGCACTCATTGTAATTTAGAACTTTGTATTCGTTTTTCTCTCCAAGAAAAAGACTTGCTTGAAAATAACTCTGGACATGGAAACTACCACGAGCAGAATGTCCACAAATCATAAACCAAAATAAATGTATAAAAATCTGAGCTAACTCTTAAACAACAACCACTTCAATTAATATTGCATCTAAATGAAAGTGCATCGCCCTGATGCGTAACAAAAAAAACTACATTTGGGTAGAAAGAGATTGGGGGAGGGGTCGGAGCAACACCAATGCATTGCAGTTCATCCTTTGCATGCCTTTCCACAAACGAGACCCAGGACATCAATGTGTGTGTGGTGGGGTGGCATTCAGGGTCACATTGCAAATTACAAAAATGCTTTTAAAAATTTCACAACAGATTCCTCTGTCCAACCAGCAGTATAAAATGGGTAAACGAGTTTGTCGATCGGCAGGTTGTATACGCGGGGGTAAAGTGTGGATACTCACGCCTCTTCAAAGACGTTTGGGCAGGGTGGAAGAGGAAGCAAAACACTATAGATGGGCCCCCTCTAGTTGTGGTTCTTCCACCAGCAGTGGTGTGAATAAGCAATTGCAGGGCTGCATCTTCAACTTGAAGTAGCACGGTTGGCTATGTACGGTGCGATTAGTGCGGCTGGCTACGTACGGTGCAAAAGATGTTCAACATACATATATCTGACAGAAGTAACACTGGGTTTGCTCTCCAACAAACTGGTGCGCTGAAGAAGTAACTAATTGGCATATTTTGTTTACGTGACAAAACTTCATAATTGGCTGTGTCGGGTGGTGGCGGATTTAACGACATTTATATTTACAAGATCCAACCCAAAAAAACACCTTTATTCCAGAGAAGAAACATCAAAACCTACCTTGGCTGCGAGAAGGTATACTTTCATCGGCCAAATTACAGGTGGGCATTCCGCACCGCTCCCGCCCAAAAGCAGCGCCACCATCTCGAGCAGCGGCACTCGCCCCCACCGGCTGCTTGTCTGCCACGGGCACTGTGAAGGAGCCCCGCTTGGAGGGCACCACCTCGAGTGAGGAGAGCGCGCTGCCGCAGCGTTTAGTGGCCGACACCGGCTCATTCTCCCAGGGGAACACAGACGAGGTGGAGGTGCGCTTGAGAGGCGTGTCCCCCGTGAAGAGGCCGCAGCGGGCCTGCATCGTGGTGTTCTGCTTCTGCCACGGAAAGACGGAGGACGAGGCCTGCTGCCGACCGATGGCCTGCCGACTCGTGGAAGTGGCCGCCTGCGTCTGGCTCACCAGCTGGAAGATCACAGAAAATTTGAGGCGTACTTTCACTTCTCTCATATTCGATCAAACTTGGGAGTTTTGTTTTTTTGTTTTAATGAGGAGCTTGTAATGAGATTAATAGCAAACCAAGAAAAGGTTACACCCTGCAGGTTTAACAATGTTAAGCACAGCCCTTTTAATGCCAAATTATCTCCTTTTTTACCCTTGCCTGATAGTTTTGAGAAGGCATATCATACCACACTTTCAATGACCACAACAGCTTACAGATATACGAACTGTACTATTTTAGTTTCAGAAAAACTGCAACGTAAACAACAGTGCATGCAAAATATCATACACAAGGTTTGAAAATGCACACATTTTATTACTAATAATATATTACTTTGATTTGCAGAACTTTCAGCTCATTTTCAAGGTTTTTCCGCTCTGCCACTTCTGTGCTGTACTTCTCATACAGTTGTTCAAATTTGTCATCAGATGTGTTCCTTTCTGCAAGAAAAAATACCTGCATTGAATGCCTTTGACGAAATAAATAATCGAAGTGAAATCCAAAACAAAAATGTACCAAGCAAATTAAATCACTCTAATAGTGAATTGTCATGATTCAGGTTAAGCGATGCTGAATGTAGAAACATTATAGAGCAAAACAAAGTGAATAAATAACTTGCCTCGTGTTTCAGGATATACTGTAGAGTTATTTGCTCCTTTGTGATGTGGTGTGGAAAAAGATTGGAGCTCAGAAGAAGACACACTTGACCGGCACTCCAATTCATTCTTGCACCTTTTCGAAAGAAAGTTTAAAGACAGCTCTGTATCAGAGGCATTACTAAATGGCTTTAGCAAGACCAGCAGTACACATTAAGCCAACAGAACAATGTGTACTTATTACTGGTCTTGAGGTAATAGAAACAAGTCCAGTATTTGTTTACCAACAGACGGGGCTATGTAAGTATCTTGATGTGTTCAGTTAATTGTGAATTGTTAAGCCTACCTGACACAAAACAATGGACTGGATTCAGTTGCCCGAGGCTTAAAGTTGAAGAAAACTGAACAAAAATGCCTAAGTCATGGAAATTTACAAGGTTTCATTGCAAATAAAAAATACATTATTTCATACACAACAACGTAAAGGCAGTATTACTGGTGTGCAAACAGCTTCCTTAACTGATTTATAAATCACTTAATTAATGAGTGCCTTTCCAAGGATTGCATAATTACAACATTTGCTTTCTGGGAGTTCAATGATCTTGGCTATTAATTAAATCTTTAAATAGTTTTTTCAGCTCAAGTGAACACATGTGGAATTCATATTAAAGAGAGTTGCAGAAAGTGTCCCTCATGATACATGCATACTGTACAGTATCTTACTTATTTTAAATAAATAAGTTTCGTTTTTCACTTGTGCACCCAAGGGTTTTAACTTAAATGTCAAAACATCGTGGCAACAGTCTGGACATGATGCATCAGCTCCTTATACCATCACTCAAAATGATCAATATTCTTCAAGGAGCCATTAATTTTTCTTATATTCTATTGTACCCAAATTATTTTTCTTTAAATAAAAACTTTTCAGAGACTGGTCATTAATGAAAAAGTTATTTATTTATGCTTCTTTCTAACATAACTCGACATAATCCTCTCCAATTTTTTTCAAAGAGGGTAAGAAGTTCATTATTCCCAAAGTGCACAATGCACATGGCTCTTTTTTTATTTATTAAACACTAGCTTTACTATCCGGCTTCGCCCGAAACTTGGATTCACCACGCCTTTGTCTCCCCAGTGGCGATGTTCACACACCACACCAGTTACTCGTTTGAGGCCGAGTCGACCTAGGGGAGGCCCAGGACCAGTTCAAATAATCGTCACCGGTGTTGGCCGTGAGCGGGAATCGAACTCGGGTTGCCGGGTTCGTAGCGCAGCGGAGCGCTAACCACTACACTACTGCTCCCCCCACACATAAACGCGCTTGCAGCAGATACACACACAACTTTCAGGATGCGTGCGGCAGTAAACGACTAAAATAATAAAGCAATGCTGAGCGAAGAACGCCTTAGACCTGCAACACATTTGTATTTCACTTTACCCACGGAGGGTTGGAGGGGGGCCGTGACATGAGCAGGCACACTGCGCGTTACGCTTCTGCATGCGCGGGTGACATGATAGATGTGACGTCACAGCACACTTGCCGTGCAAAATATATGCATTATTGCGCCCCCCCCCCCAAATAAAAATATACCAAAGTGTATTTTTATAACTTTTGCATGGTGTACAGTCTGGAAAGTACCCACATGGCAAATTCAAAATTTGTTGCATGTCGGGAAGTACGCTAAACATTTTGAACAGACACACATTCACAAATTTCCCTTTTACATATATAATCATCATTAGACCTCCTTTGCCAGTACCAAAATGTAATAAGGGTTTTTCCCCTTTTTTCTGGCAACAAAAATGAAACCTTTTTACAAGGATTCATGTCTGCATTAACCACAATACATGCAGTCAAAATGCAAACAAAAACCATATTATAATATATGCATTGTCCTTGAAACCGATTGGTCCACACCAAGGGACGGCTTTCTTTTGAGCCTCGACCCAATTGGTGCTCGACCAGATGACGCCAAAAGGCGTACAGAGGAAAACCCCTATTATTATATTTTGGTACTGGCAAAGAAGGTCCAATGATGTAGATGCTCACCCCGAGCCCTCATTACTTTGATAGTGCATTATCTTTGAGCTGTACGCCTTTTGTCGTCATCTGGTGGAGCACCAATTGGGTCGAGGCTCAAAAGAAAGCCGTCCCTTGGTGTGGACCAATCAGTTTCAAGGACAATGCATATATTATCATAGTATGTTTTTTGTTTGAATTTTGACTGCAGGTATTGTGGTTAATGCAGACATGAATCCTTGTAAAAAGGTTTCAGTTTTGTTGCCAGAAAAAAGGGGAAAAACCCTATTATATATAATCATAATCACTAGTGTACAGGTATGTCGATACTACATCCCAAAGAAGGCAATACAATTCATACTTACAAAAAAATACACATTGTGTGTATTGAGAACTATTAATTTCATCTCGTACAAAGTTTGGGCACACCAGTCTTCCATTTAACAAGTGAGACATTTCAACTACAGAAATGAAACTGTAGTCACTGTGAGTCTGATCATTCCCACCACCCCATTACACTTCGACACAAAACCAATGAGGGGAGATTGGGATGGACAGTTGTGCACACGACTCGATTACTAATCCAACCTACCAAGAAACTCCTTATTCCAGACACCTGTCTGCTTCTTTGGCCGGATTATAAATGGAGCTGCATTTATAACTGTCACCCCGACTGTGGAGTATGTGCCTATTCACCTTATTGTGATGGTGGGTTATTCCAGAGTGATGAATAAAAAAAAATTGCTGCAGAAGAAACGTCCGGCTTCTTCGGTGAATGGCTGGCATTGCCCTAATGCATCACGATTATGCATATTCTTAGACAATGCAATGTCAAAGGATTTATTGTTTTAAACTACATCGACCCACAACCTGCTGATAACCGGCTGAGCGGCGTTTACCTCTTGAGCTCCTGCTCGATCTTGTCTGTGTGCAAGCGTGCCGAGGTGAGCTGGCCATCCAGGCAGTTCGCCTGCGTCTCGCGCTGCTGCAGCTCGTGACTCAACTTCTGCCGTGCGGCTTGTAGCGAATCACACGCATCCATCAAGCTCTGGTTCTCCCGCTTCAAGGCAGAGATCTCCGACTTTGCCTCCTCCACCTGAGATAACAGCACCACCGACGCTCCAGATTACCACGGTTGGCCAAGTACGGTGCGAAAGAAGTTCACCATACATAAGGTGCGTATTGCACAATTTACCAAATTAAATACACATTTAACGTACGCATGCCATTGATATTTTATGCATAAAAAAACGCATTGCAATTTTTCTGCACAGCATGAGTTTGCAAGAAAACTGCAAAGTCAATGATGGGGAATTCAGTAACTTGTTCCACAGGAACTTGTCGAAAAACTACAGCATGTGGATTTAGTTTCATTTGGAATAATATAATTCAAGTTATTTAAGAATAAATCATTTCCATTGTGGTCTAAAAATGTAAGTGGAATGTTACTCAAAGAACCAAATCGTCTCTGGTGTAAAAAGTACCACACTTTGAAGGTTGTAAGATGACAGTGCCAAGAAGCTGGGGTGTCAGGCCATTATCTGAATCAAAACGTAAATCCAAGAGCGTTTCCCTGATCAAAGAAGAATGGGGCCTGTGGTCACCTCCATTGTCAACCCAATGCCTGTGCTGCAAATGTAAAACTTGTTGATCACAATCAGTCGTTGTGTAAATAGCCAATAAAAACTGACGTTGAAAACATAAACATAGCTCAATAAAACACCAGCTGCTTAATGATTTCTGATGAGCTGTGTTAAAACACAGGTTTGAAAGTCATAACACGTAATTAAATAACTGCGTTTGCAGCGGTGTCCAAGCAAATCGAAAACGCGTTATCGTTAACACCATCGTAATATATTTCTCCTCGACATGTGCAATGCCAAGTTTGAGTTTAATATACATTTAATTCAATCTACTGAGAGCAACAGTTACGAATTATACTTTTGTTGGTCAATAATTTTTTGTTTAAACATATTGTAAGTCTAATTTATTTCAACACTATTGCGCTTCATGGAATAAGAAGCATGGAGACCGCGATGCTGCTTGTGGGCAGGTAACTGGGCTTATCCTGGGCTGGCACAGCCTGGCCTCGCAATGGCCATTGCTCAAGGCGACTTGAGTAAAAGCAAGCAAGTAAGTTTGGCACATCGAGGTGCCTGGGTGTAGTGTTGCCCGACCTTCTGCTTCTGTTTCTCGCAGGCGGCTTCCACCGTGTCAATGTGCAGTTGGCGCTGGCGCTGTTCCTTGCGCAGCTTTTCCAGCTGAGTCTCCATCTCCGTGATCTTCTGCAGGGCTCGTCCGGGCAGTCCATCCTTCCACTCCTCCACGGCCCAGCTCATGGTGGTGCCTCAGCCACGCGCTAAAGCGGTCCAGGGGCAAGTTGCAGAAAACTATTTAAGTACAACATTTGCTCCCAATTATATCCGTGTTACTTTAGAATATTTTACGAAACTTGATAGTGAAATGCAAGCATCTGCAGATTATAGCTGTACCATCAACTATCTTGTCATCAGGGGATTCTGGTTTTAGTCAGGATTTTACCCTGTACAGGCCGTTGAGAGCATGTACAAATTGATTACACCGTATATGTATAAGCCTTGTCTGTATTCATGCATTCGCCTGTGACCAAATTACTCGGAATCGCCAGTTCTCCAAAGCTTAGCAGATCCTGGATGGAGCATTTAAACCTGGGCTGCTGCTTGGGTTCGTTGTGGGCAGAAGGCGTACACCCAACCCTCGCTGGCCAGCGTGGTGAAGTATGGTCAAATCAGCCCATAACCGACACGGCGTGGACAGCTCCTCACCTACAACCGTAGTGGATTGGCGAAATGTACGTGAAGCTATAACATGTGGCATGTTCATGCCATTGCACGTTACATTATTGGCAGTGCAATAATAGTAATGATATACATGTTTCATTACCGCTCTAAGTTGTAATTTAAATCTTTAACACTTGAAGCGGCACTTAAAATCTGTGACGCTTGCGACGGCCATGATCCATCCACTGCTGGATGAAGACCTCCAACCAAAGCCGCCGTGACCATAGCGGCCACTTTAGCATATTTTACAGACAAAACAAAGCTCCACGAAGTAGAAACGCGTGTTGGATGGACGCTTACCCGCGATTATCACGACGAGTGTTGTCCCCCCGTGCCAATGCAACGCAAGGAATACAAACTGTGAACGTCTACGCCGCCACAGCCGCAAGACGGCCGCTCGCTCGGCTTGAACGCGGCGCCAAAAATAGAGTCACGTGCCGCGCGGCGCGTTCTGCCATTGGTCCAATTCGATTTCGTCGGCTTCACCCATTCGCCGCGCCGTTTAGCCAATGGGAGCGCGGTCACTGGATTTAAACGTTGGGCGGTTCGAGTAACGGTCGCCTCCACCACCGGAAGAGGAAGACGCCCGGCGGTGTTTACACGAATAAAACACGAACTCGTGTTCTGGAAGCAGAATTGGCGGTTTGGGAAAGGTCCCCGGGAACCACGTGCGCCCCGCCGCTGTCTTCCGGAAGATGCTTTCCACATTCAGATAACAACAATAATTAATTAGCTTCAAATCAAGATTGAAATAATTAATGACATTGAGTTTAACACCGTAGGCTTTCGCGACCAATAACCTTAATAATTGGCTGTGTAGGGTGGTGGCAGGTTTCACGACATATTTACGCGCTCTAACAAAAAAACCTGCCAATAAAACAGGTGTTAAGATGCTCAAACACGAAATATAAACTTTTTGCAAGGAATGAGCGCTCTCGGAGGAAGCAGGGAGATCAGAATGAGAATATTTGCTGATACATATTTGGAGGAATCCGATGAGCTATAAAGCTTTTTCACAGATGTCCTTACAGTCAAGGGCAGGTCAGAGCGTCTCAACAACAGACAATACAAAAACACAATAGGAGTGCAGAGTATAGGAAGGAAAGGTACAAAAGTAACTTTAAAAAGTTAATGTTAAAGGATATTGAGTTAAGAAGCTCTTTTTTTCAAGGGCGACTCGGCCGGTAGACAACAACAGCATTCCACAATTGCAGATTAAAAAAAAAACTTCAAATCAATTATATTGTAACATGACATTCACAACTTAAACTTGAGTGATTTTAATAGGTAGTAAATTTAAATGAGAATAGTTGACGGAATGGATATTCTAAGGGCCATTGCCCAACACGTCACCTTTTAAGGCCATAGTGTTAATGATTAATGTATTAAGGTTCTTTGTTATATGCACGAGGCAGTATGATCAGCATCGGTATTTATTTTGCATTACCAGGAACCGGGTGAATAAAAATACCGGGCAAATTTTTTTCCGGTTTTTCACACTTCAAGTCTAGAAGTGTATCGCAAGAAATACAACATCGAGTATGAACCATAAAGATAGTTATAATTACTGGCGAAACGTCGTACTCCGATTGTAAATGTTGTGGCTTGGCTCTCCAACACACCGGCGTGCTGTACTAATGACGAATTGGTACGTTCTGTTTACGTGACAACCCTTATTAGTTGGCTGTCGGGTGGTGGCGGGTTCAACGACGCAACATTTATATATTTATGCGATCTAACACACCAAAAAACCTGTATTCGCATGATACGCAGCACTTCTAAAAAAAGGAGAAATACCTTCTAGGGTCAAACATACGCAGATAAATGAGTAGCACTTATTTACGCGATCTAACCCAAAACAACTCTATGATGGACATTGGTCGCGAAAGCCGACGTGTTAAAACGAGGATGAACCTGTTTTAACTGAGAAACGAAGGGAGCGGTGATGGAACACAGCTCGCGATCCAGAAAACCCAACAAGTCGTCGATCACACTACGACTGCTTTTGCAATCCACAGATCGCCAGTTCGATTAGATTTCCCGGGGCGGCAATTGAAAGAATGAGGTTGCACCTTTTAACTGATAAACGGGGGCAAATAGATGTACCATACGGCACCGTGATGAGTTCTTCCATTAGTCTCGAGTCGTACCTGGATGCCATGAAGTATGTGTTTCTGCATATAAATGAATGCATTATGGTCATCAACGCAACACTTTCGTCGATAGCACTCAATCTGAAAGAATAAAGGACCATTAGTCAAAACGTCGCTTATCATGTTTATCCTTGTATGGCAGTGTTATTGACTAATCTGTTGGGTTTTGTTGTTATTTGTGCTTGCGCGGCACTGACAATGCAGTCTCCGTTTGGTTTCCGTTTTTTGTCAATTTATTACGTTTATCTCCACAATTTTAACCAGTTGGGGGCAGTCTAGCACTGAGTGGGGAATGTAACCTTTTCAGCCTGGATACGAAGGCCATGGGATTTTCACACTTGAACAGGTGTAATTTTTACGAAGCATTTGGTTTTTCACATTTTCACACCCGTTTTAGAAACTTTTCATCATCCATATCAACAGCCGCCATTCGTCATGGTCTTGCGATGCCATGATCCATCTCGTTCCTGCGGATGCAATCATCTCTACGTGACTTTACCGAAAGAACCAAAGAAGATGCAATGATCTCATTGGGGTTCATCTCTGTGGGGTTCATCATCCTCGGGCATGTTCCATCTTTAGCCATCATCCCTTCGAGCGATGTGTCCTTTCCAAGCCCAGTTTTCCTAACCATCAAAATAATATCTCTAATTTGTTCTTTGATACTGTACATGTGTTCCGCTATTTGTCACAGTACACATTCACCATGCTACTTTGTGTACTTTTTATATTTTGTTCCTTTGTATTTGGAAGTAATCATCAGTCACGTACATATTTTATAGTGTATGTATTGATTGAAAACTTTCCTCTTCGGACACATTGGTATGTTGCTTTAGATTCTAAAATGTAACTTTCCAATAAGCTCTCCTCTTATTTGATCATTTTGTATCTAAATTTTCCTTAAATAATTGCCCTGAATATACCTACTCTGTTATGTTTTTGATTGTTTTCTTCCAACAATAGTTTAGTTAACTTGTTGTACGTCACCACATTTTTCTAAATGGTTTGGGAAAAGATGGCTATAAGCTGTACGCCTTTTGGCGTCATCTGGTCGAGCACCAATTGGGTCGAGGCTCAAAAGAAAGCCGTCCCTTGGTGTGGACCAATCGGTTTCAAGGACAATGCATATATTATCATAGTATGTTTTTTGTTTGCATTTTGACTGCAGGTATTGTGGTTAATGCAGACATGAATCCTCGTATAAAAACGGTTTCAGTTTTGTTGCCAGAAAAAAAGGGGAAAAAACCCTATTATTACATTTTGGTACTGGCAAAGGAGGTATAATGATGTAGATGCTCACCCCGAGCCCTCATTACTTTGATAGTGCATTGTCTTTGAGCTGTACGCCTTTTGGCGTCATCTGGTCGAGCACCAATTGGGTCGAGGCTCAAAAGAAAGCCGTCCCTTGGTGTGGACCCATCAGTTTCAAGGACAATGCATATATTATCATAGTATGTTTTTTGTTTGCATTTTGACTGCAGGTATTGTGATTAAAGCAGACATGAATCTTCGTAAAAAACGTTTCAGTTTTGTTACCAGAAAAAAAGTGGAAAAACCATATTATGGCTATAAGTGTTGAAATCATGTGGGTGAATTAATTCATCCATAATACGGGTTTTTGTTTGGGTTAGATCGCATAAATATAAATGTGTCGTTAAACCCGACAATTAGTCAAGTTTGTCACGTAAACAGAACATGCCAATTCGCTACTTTTACAGCACACCGGTGTGTTGGAGAGCAAATCCACAACATTTACAATCTGAGTACTAATTATTCATATTCTCTAATTGCAAGCCATCTTCTACTGAATGAAGGTCTCCACAAATAGATGTCAACACTTTTGGTTTGTGTCGTGTTCGTATTTGGTCCAAAATACCCAACATTCAATAATACATGTTTGGCCCTTCTACTGTCCATCTTCATGAAGAGCTTTCCTGCTTCAATTTATTAGTTTTTTTACGACTGTGTTTTTTTCAGTTGTGCTGTATAACTCTCAGATGTGTTTTCTGGTTGTAGAGTACTGCGTGTTGCATGATATCCGACTTTTCCCGTCACATGCTGAGAGCTTGTTTAGGAAATGAACGACATCTGTAAGCAGATGCTACAGCTGCCGATAGTATGGCTTCATTTCCATAAGGATGTTCAGTGAAACGTCAGACATCATACCGCACAACGTACGATACAAACCGAAAATATATCAGGCATTTTTACTAGTGTATGTTCATTACATGATAACTTGGATATTTATTTTCTTCCTAGACCACTAATTAGGCATACAAGTTAAAATATAGTAATATATTTCCTTCTGAAATAAACATTCATACACATAACCTAATGCCTGTTTACTTAAGTAATTCCTGTGCCTGTACACATGCTAGAAGCACTAGAGAATTTCCCTTTGTTATAGAAGGGAGTACTATTATTTATTCTGACCGTAGTTATTTTTGAGCGAATATATGTGTGTTTGTATTCTTTGGAAATAAATATTTCAGAGGTGGTTTTGTTCTCAAATAAGTAGCTTACAGCCTCTTTACAAAGCGAGGACCTCCTTTATTATTTGGAACATGACCCATTTACTGCAGCCGCTTAATCTTGGCATGCCACCAACGCACAATGGCCTTCTGTTACACAAAGTGATGCGGACGTTTTAACGGCATCCGTAAGCAGATGGTAGAGCTGCTGATTGTGTGCCAGAAACAGTACTGCAGCGCAGAGATAGGAGTAAGACCCAGTGATCGACCTCGGTGTCGAATGTACATGCACCAGAAGGCAATAAAGGACAGCAGGCAAAAGGTTTCGCCATTCATTATGAGTTTTAACCCAGTTTTGTACATACAAAATTGTGATTAGGATGAAAAATAATCCTTTATTTGTAAAACACAAAAACCTCCACATGTTGCAGCTCTCTGATATGTTTGTTGGTTGTATCGCCTGTTGTTTTTGAATTATGTGAATTCATTTGCATTCATTTAATGAAGATACTCTCAATATGTAAAGCAAAAACATTGGCTATCATTTATGTATGTTGTACTTCCTTCACGCCGTATGCAGCCAACCGTGCTAATCGGAGGTGCAAAAAATGTGCGGAAGAACCAGAAAACACATTGGACAGCGATGCGGCACAACCGTAAAAAAAATACGTGGTAGTACTACACGTGTTTTTGTGTGGTAACGTTTTTACAATGCAAGTGCACATTTTATGAAAATTATAGTTGGGTGTAATTTGATGAAATCCCCGTTCGCAAAAATTGAAGTGATTGTGTATGGAACATCAAAAATTCACGCGACCACGGGGAGAACGTGA